TCAGCTTCATTCTTCCCTCTCACTATCTTTCTTCGTATAATAGAAGTGTGACTACTGATACCTCCTGAGCTTCTCAGCTTACAATGTTGGCTACCTGCAGAGCGACCATCTCAACTCTCTGGGCCCTAAGTCCAAGACCAATGGGAAAGGACTCACTTGGGCCACAAGCCTTCTTCTAGATCAGTCAACTGTAGAAAGAGGAGGGAGAAATGGGTGTGTGAAATTGTATCATATCATTGCAGCTCCCGAGAGAACAATTTAGATGGAATGAAGGAAAGGGGTTCTCAGAAGAAGGAGGCAGTCCTGAGAAAAGAACTGAATCTACGATAGTATTATTGGGAAAAAAAGAGTATGAGAACTAGATGATGAATAGGAACTAATGTTGGACATTTTATGTGAGGTAAAGGGAGAAAAGGAGGTCTGGGGATTTCATTGAGAAAGTAAAGAAACATTCATGTGAAACTTCAGGTAAAAAAACATAATCAAAATGTCAACAAATAATATGACTCACTTCCTTTTGACTGCTTTGGTAAAAAACAAATAGATGAAACAAAAATGGCACAATGCTAATATTAAAACTAGGTGATGGGTATATAGAGGTTCATTATTCTAGTTTTTATATTTGATAATTTTCCATTATAAAACGAAAAAATAATCAAATTCCAAAGTGGATTACTAAAAAGAAGTAAGCAGCATACAGGAGAAAGATTAGTCAACTCAGATAAAGAAATTTCATAAATTTAGAGATATTAGAAATGAAAATGCCTTTAAAATCCTACAATGTTACAATGCAATCTTTTAAACTTTGCTCCTGGTTCTGCCACTAACAATGTGTGTTTGGGTAAATCACCAAAATTCTGTGAGACTTAGATATTTTTATTTGTAAAATGAGAAGACTGGTTTAGCTGATCTCAAATATTTTGTGTCAAACTGACTCAAAGCCAGCATTCAGGTATCAAATCCCTCAGGTAAGAAAAGAGTATAAAAAAGTGAGTCAACCCTACTCGCCTGGCATTCAAGATTCTTTATGCTCTGGCTGCAACTGAACTACTGTCCTCTATGCACTTTTTTTTCTCCCTCTGCACACTTTTCACCCCAGTCATTTCATCTGTGCCTGGAATGTCTCCCCTCCCATCTCTAACTCATGAAATCATGTTGCTCTTGTAAGGCCCATCTCAAAAGTTATCACTTTCATAATATCTTACTGAATTCCTTAAGAAGATTTGACATCTCTGCTCACTAAATCCTATATTGCTTTTTGAATTTGTCATGTGGAATATACCAGATTTTACTTTTTATTATCTCTTTTTGGTCTTTTAATTACCTTTGAAAAATATTTTCCTTTCGACTAGACTATAAACTCCTGAAGAGGAGGGATCATGTCTTTTTAAATTTCATAGTCTCAAAGCATTAGCACAATAACTTACATAAAAAGATTCTTAATAGTATTCGATTCACTGTAAAAGGTAGAAACAGGTTTAGGCAAAACTGTGAGTCAGTTATTTTGCCACCAAACTCTTATTGGCATAAACTAACCTTTTTTCTGAAACTATGATGAGAGAATATGATAATCCATTTTCCAAATAAACTTTTGTTGTGATAAGATTTTCCCAGAAAGCTAAAACCCTGGCAGAAGAAAATGTCACTCAGGATTTCCTTTTTTTTTTTTTTTTTAGAGTTTATTTATTTATCAGAGAGAGAGAGACAGAGGCAGGCAGAGGGAGAAGGAGGCTCTTTGCTCAGCAAGGAGCCTGATGTGGGACTCGATTCCAGGACCCTGGGATCATGACCCGAGCCGAAGGCAGACGCTTAACCGACTGAGCCACCCAGGCATCCCACTCAAATGGAACTGTGATTATTTGGCATGTTTTGTACTACTATTTAGAGGTTAAAGTTGGGATTAGTACCTCCTCTGCAGGTTCTCAATTCAGGCAGCAAACATACAAGGAACAACAGCAGAATGGAAGGCAATGCTCTAAGTATCTGAGCAATGACTTGCTACCTCTGAAGGACTCTGGTAATCCTCAAATGGAGGGCATGATTTATGCTTGGAGTAGCTGAGCTAGGGTCTGCTGTCTGAGGGAAGCTGAAGAGTGACTCCTTGACTGAGCACTGCCAACCTGGTGGCATATAGAGCTTCTGTTAGTAAAGCATTGTCCAATGAATGTCTGGGGCTCTGTAGTTACTTTAGCAATTCCTTCTGTCTTGGTTTTGCATATGTGTGGATGGCCTGGTGGAGATGAAGAATGGTATTGACAAGGGGTGCCCCAGCATGGGAAGAGGCACATGATCTCTCTCCTCCTCAATACAATTTAAATATTTTGGACAATTTATTTCAAGTCATTTTTTATTTGCTTAGCTAAAGTATTTCTATGTCATTATTTTAGAGAAAAACATGTGATGATATACAGTTAATTCTTTTTTTTAATTTTTTTAATTTATTTATTCATGAGACACACAGAGAGAGAGAGGCAGAGGGAGAAGCAGGCTCCCAAAGAGCAGAGAGCCCGATGTGGGACTCGATCCCAGGACTCTGGGATCATGACCTGAGGTGAAGGCAGATGCTTAACCATCTGAGCCACCCAGGCGCCCTATATAGTTAATTCTTGATTATCCTTTTATTTCATTGCAGTTTAATCCAGAATATACCTACAAGTGTCATTCTGAAGTGACAATTAGGAATGTACCCAGGTATTTTCAAATTAAAGTTTAATTTTATAATGTGTGACTATTCTCGTGGAAGCTTTAGGAAAGATTTTGAAGATTTTGTCTATTTTGATGAGATTTATATCTCATAATTGAATGCATTTTGTTTGGGCTTCTTTCAGTTTTTTCATCTTAACAACATTAATGCAGGGCTTACAAACTCATAAATCAATTGCTTTTCAAGTGAACAAAAAATGACATGTCTCGTGGTTAGTGTAGACGGTAAATTCATTTTCTATTGTGCTTCGTTTGATTAATCTAGAATCTAACAAACATTCTGTAAGAAGTGATCACCAAAAATAGGAGAAACACATACACTCCCTCTCCTTATTAGTGAAATTGTTTTATGTATTTCAGTACTCTCTATAGGAGGAAAAGCAATCATTGTATAACACAAAGTTAGCATATGTTCATAAATGTTACAGATAGTAAAGTTTGTATATTTCCTAGTAGCATCAACAACTTTTTACTACCTGGATAACCTTTCTTTCATTCATTCAATAAAAATAAATTGAAGGGGGTACTCCTGGGTGGCTCAGTCCTTAAGTGCCTGCCTTCAGGTCAGGTCATGATCCCAGGGTCATGGGATCGAGCCCCGCATCGGGCTCCCTGCTCCGCGGGAAGCCTGCTTCTCCCTCTCCCTCTGCCCCTGCTTGTGTTCCCTCTCACTTTCTCTCTCTGTGTCAAATAAATAAAATAAAATCTTAAAAAAAAAATAAACTGAAGGGCTCAGTGGGACCAGGGTTCTGTTGGATACTAGAAATATGATGAAACACAGAGCACGACTTCTGCTCCGTGGAGCTTACAATCTCGCTAAGACAAACAGAAAAAGTCATTACAAGTGCTTTGAAGAAAGAGGGCAGGGTGCAACAGGAGCAAAAGGTCAATTACCCAGGCTGTCGTTCACTCTGACTTCTTGATTCTTCTTACATTTCAAAATTGAAGAAAGTGAGGATAGAAGCTACAGTAAATGATGGTATGCACGCATACCTATCTTCCAGGAAGAACATTATTCAGTCAAATAATTGTTCGTTTCTCAGTCCACCTGCCTGGAAGGTTTGCGTGCCTACCAGTGGTATTAGTGATGCCCCCCCCCCCCACCTTATACCCAAATCCTTAAAGAAGAGCCGGGAGTGGTACAGAAGGCATGACAATGTGGAAATGGATCGATTCGGTTTTTCACCTTTCAAAGGAATAAAACCTGGTTGGCGAACTGTAGAATGGAATCTCAGAGAGAAGAGCAGGGTAAGAAAGCCATAGCCTTGTGAGGAGCAGAGTTCAGGGTCTAATTCCTGTTGCCTTATCAGCTTCCAATTATACCTGCAGGGAGAGCTGATAATATCAACTGAGTACAGAGCTGGGGAACAGGAGTGCCTTGGCTACTTTACACTGACCTGGAAAATGTCAGGATAAATTACAGAACGGGGGCAGGGGGTAGGCAACTGTCCTTTTAGAAGTCTCAACGCTTTGTGGATATTGAGTTGTCACGAATTCACTGAGTAAGGATGGCTTGTAGATGGGGGTGAGGGCTGAGGGAAAGATTCAAGGACTAAGCTCTTAAAACGAGACAGGCATTTCCACATGTAACAGTTTAAAAGAGGCTGACGGTCCAGGCCATCATCTGAAATCTGAGATCATCTGAAATGATCTCAGACTGGCTGTTAACCTTCCCTAAAGCTGCTTTTTAAAAAATTTTTTATTAGGATAGGTAGCATCTCCTTTGGAAGACACAATCCCGCGCTGCGGCTAACCCTCTCGGCTGGCGGAGGCCAGCACGCGTGTGTGCGGTCGCCCCCTGCGCCGCGGCCCCGGCTAACCGGCACGAATCCTGCCCGCGCCAGGCGCTCCCTCGCAGCCCGCGGGGCGCGCGCGCACACAGGACCTGAGAGCGCGCTCCCGTCCCTCGCGAGCGCGCCCTCCTCTCCGCCCCCTCCCACCCCACGCGCTGGTCCTCCGCGCCCCCGCCCTTCCAGCGCTCCCACAGCCCGAGCGCCGCTCAGCTGACCGGCGGGCGCCAGACGCCGCGGCTTCCAGTTCGCGAGCACAGCTGCGGCGGCGCGAGCCTCTCACGCCGACACTCCCCCTGCGCGCCCCTCCCCCACCCGGGACCGGGATCGGGACCGACTGGGCGCGAGCTCGAGGCGGCTTCTCCGGCGCCGGGCGAGGAGCGAGGCTGCGGTGACGAGCGGCGGCTGCGCGGCCATGGGCGCGCCGGTGTCGCCCTAGGACAGGCGCGCGGAGACCGCATCCGGAGCGGCGAGCCTTCCCGAGAGGCGGCGGCGGCGGCGGCAGGAGCAGCGCGGCCGGGATGAGCGGGAGCGGCGCGGCGCCTGGCCCGAGCTCGGGCTCCTCCCCGACCGCCTGCCGCTTCGCGCACTACTTCGTGCTGTGCGGGATCGACGCAGACAGCGGGCTGGAGCCCGACGAGCTGGCGGGTAAGGCCGGGCTACGGCGGCGCGGCGGTCCCCTCAGGGACGCGAGGGACGCTGCGGGGACGCGCGGGAGGCGGGTCATAGACAAAGTCGGCTCCCGGCGGCGCCCGCTTTCCATCCGAACCGGCGCCCGGGCGGCGATTTAATGACATTGTTATTTATTCCGCGTGCAGGGTGCGCTGCTGAGCCTGCGGGCGTCGCGCCGCTGAGGGCGCCCGCCTCAGGCTTTGCCTCCAAGGCGCGGGGTTATTAATAACGGGGGCGGGGGCGGCGGCGGCCTCGAGAGCACGGCCCCCGCCCGGCACGCTACCCCCCTCGCCCGCAGCTGCACGCGGAGGCGTCCGGTGAGTCACCGGGCGCGCTAACTCCCCGGCCTTGCCGCGATCCCGTGCATCCCACCCCCCACCCTCTCCGCCAGACTGCGAAGTTTCAGCCCTGGCACGTGACGCGGCGCTCAGGCCCCCCCCCCCGGGGGAGGCGGCGACACAGACCGCTGGGCGGCGGGGGTCGCGTCCACCGAGGCGGTGATGGCCTGCAGGGCGAGTGCAGGCGGGCGGCTGGTTGGACTTCATCCTTGACTGTTCCCGGTCTGCGCCCCTTCCCGCCTCGCGTTCGGCGATGACGGTGGAGTCACCTTTTGGAATGCTGTCTATTTGGCAGTGTCACGGGAGCTGGGGAGGACCTTTGATCGCTTGGGACTCGGCACGACGCTTTGTTGACACCACCTACACTGTCCCTGAGTTTAGTAGTTGGACCTTCGTCCCTCACTTGGGTGCACCGTGTGTTACTGCCGGGCTTTTCCTGGAGGGACACCGGTCCCTGCTCTTTACCCATTTGATGGCGCAGTGCAGGGCTGAGCTGGGAACCGATGCTGGGAAAAGGGGCCGTTAAAGGAAGATGGGGGGGGCGGGTAATGAGTGCGCAGTGCCGGGAAGAGGCCAGAGAGAAACGACCCATTTCATTTTTTCACGCCTCTTTCTTTCTGCTTGCCTTCTTGGGATCTGAGTCTTGATTTTTTTGTTGTTGTTAATGGATGAGACAAGTGACATCTATCGCCTGAACTTTATCTGTGTCAGTGTTAAACACTTAGGTCATAGCTTTCCAGAACAGCTTGCTTTGGACATAGCATGCCTTATTGCTTGCACCAATGTGTATTTTTGTTTTCTCTTTTACTTTTTGGGGGGAGGTAATAGAGGGGACTGGGAAGGATGTAGTAAATAATAAACAATAGTAAACAAATGTGTTCATCTGTAAGATACAGTACTGATCAACCCGTGTCTTAGCTAAGCAAATATCTTTTTAAGCCAGGCTCACAGCAAAACATTTTCAACAAAAACTGTAAGGCTAATTTTAGTTAAAGATTTTTAGAAAGGAGGGATGAGTACCAGGTTTTTCTGTATATGTAGTTATATAATCATGTTGTTTCTTCAATTAAGATTTCATGTACATATTAAGAATGGCTTTGTTAAGGGGTATGAAGTTAGAAAACATGTCTGCAGAGAGATTTGGAGAGATTCCTCTTTAGGGATTGAAGGGATTATTTTATTTTTCTAGAGTCCTTTCTCCCCTAAACATCCTAATCATTTGTAGTAAGGGGTCACTTGGAGGCCTTTTGTCAGTAGTGACTGATGAAAGGAAAAAGCTTGTATTTTTTTCTTTTCTATTTGAAGTTTATATGCCTAGTAAAGCTAAAACAACACCTGTAGGTGTGGCCTGGGACTCTTCAGGCACAGTGCAGATGGCTTTAACAAAATTAAGCAGTAAAAAATTAATTTCTGATTCATTTTTTAGACATTAACTGGCTTCTTTTGGAATACTATGCATGAGTGTGGATGCTTGTTTGAGATTTCTGCTCATAATATTTGGTGTTTTGAAGTGATCCTTTTGTCTGATGATAATTTCAGTATCAGTGATTCATTCAACAAAGAGTTTTGAAAGGCTTAAGGTGTAGATTGTGTCCAGGCCCTGTGGACAGCTGTGAACAAAGCAGTCAAAACTCCCTGCCGTAACAGTGCTTACATTTTAGTGTAAACAAATAACGAAAATATATAGTTTGCTAAATGTCAGTAAGTGCTATGAGGGAAAATAAAGCAAGGAAATGAGACTAGGGTAGTGCCAGAAGAATGGTGGGATGGTGGGATTGCAGATTTTAAATGAGATGGCTAGGGAAGGCCTCACAGAAAAGGTGACCTTAGAGTAGAGCCTTGATGGAGGTGAGGAAGCAAGCCATGTGGATTGTCTTGGGGAATAGCACTGCCGGCAGAGGAAACAGTGCATGCAGAGATGAGGTGGGAGAGTGCCTAGTTTGTACAGGTAACAGTAAGGAGGCCAAGGTAGTTGGAGCTGAGGGAGGAGGAAGGTAGTAGATGTGATCATAAAGAAAGGGGAGGGGAGATTGTGCAGGGCCTAATGGACAATTGTTGAGCTTTTACTCTGAGATGGGAAGCTACTGGGAAGTTTTGAGCAGTACAATGATGAGACTTGATGTACTCTCTGAAAGGATTGCTAGGCTGCCTTGTAGAGTAGACTATGTTAGGGGTAAGGTTAGAAGCAGACCAGCTGGGAGGCTCTTTTTTGGTATGTGAGGTGGGAGGTGTTGGTTGGCTTAGACCAAGGCAGTAGCAGTGAAGTGGTGAGAAGCTGGATTATTTTGGAGGTAGAGCCAGCAGGACTTGCTGATGAATTGGTTATGGTATTCATATTCAAAGAAGGTGATCAAAGATAACTCTAACATTTTTGGCCTAAACAATGATAAGCACCTCTATTTACAAAAAGTAAGAAAACTGATAGAGAAGCAGTTGGGAAAAGATTAGTTCAATTTTGGACATCTTAAGTTTGAGATATCCATTAGACATTCAGATGGAGATGTCAAGTAGGCAAGGCATCTCTCAGGGGTCAAAATTTTTATATAGACATAAATTGAAAGCCATGAAATTGGACGACATTACCCAGGCAGTGAGTGTAGGTAAGAAAAGAGAAGCTCAAGGGTTGAATCCTAGAGACACTTCCAACATTCAGAGGTGAGGAGGATGAAGAGGAAACAACTGAAGAGATTAGGAAGTATGGCCAGTAAGGTGAGAGGAAAGCAAGAGAATGTAGCTGTTACTAGCTAACCATCTTGACTGTTTCCACAGAGCTTCATTTGGGGAGGCGGACACAAGGCTAGTGGGTTAGGCAAATTAGTCAGGAGGTTGTTTCTGTTTTGCTGCATTAATTTCAAAGTTAAATATAGTTAAGTTTCTGTTTTACTTTTATGGAACTATAGACTTTTTCTTAACATATGCATGTTCCGAGAATTCACATTCTGCAGGTGGTGGAATAAATTTTGAAATTTATTGGTTGAAATAAATTTATTTCAATTGGTGGTTGAAATAAAATTAAGGACACAAGCCATATGATGAAGTTAACAGTTAAATAGACCAATACCTTATGATAAAGTTATCAGGGCTGTAGATTGTTTTTTATTTTTATTTTTTTTAAGGATTTTATTTATTTATTTGACAGAGAGACAGAGAGAGAGGGAACACAAGCAGGGCGAGTGGGAGAGGGAGAAGCAGGCTTCCCCCTGAGCAGAGAGCCCGATGCGGGGCTTGATCCCAGGACCCCGGGATCATGACCTGAGCTGAAGGCCGTCACTCAAACAACTGAGCCACCCAGGTGCCCCTGTAGATTGTTTTTTAGACAGTCATCCTAGTGAAGCCAGCTTTACCAGCAGTGGAAAAGATTTCTTTGGTATGTATATATTTCATAGAGTGACATACACACACATACTCCCGGTATACTGGTATTTCCTATTGTCCTTTAGTTCATCTTAGCTGTTGTGCTTCTCCTACTCACTGTATATTTTTAAAATTAATTTTATCCATAAACAAATATGTCCCTTTAGATATTAAAGTAGAAATATTTACATTTTCTTTAAGTGTTAAATATATGAAAAAGGTTTCAAATTGATGATTGCATAAAGAAGAAAGGAGGTGTAAATAGAAGTTGTTGGAATTAGTTGACATGTAGGAAGGCAGACATCATTTTGAAATTTTCTTTTATGCCTCTCATTTCCTCTAAGACCTAGCTGTAGGAATTTACATGGCTTGATTTATAGCAGCAAATCTTTTAGGCAACAGAGAAATTAAGGACCTTTATTTAAGTAACGTAAATATGCAAGCCCCCAAGAGGGAGCTTATGGTCTTTGCCTCTCTCTTTCATAGTACCTTATACGTAGTGTTTAATAAATGAATGAGTATAAAGTTTACATATGAGTCCACAAATTGTGTGGTGGCCAGAATATTCTTAAAGCGTTCCAGTGGTAGTTTGGGTTTAGTTCTGCAGAGGAGTATTGAATGAAGTATGATGGGTGCAATCCCTGCCACAGGCCCTTGTTTAAATCTCTTCCTTGGTGCCTGTATTTATTTTTAGTTTTGATTTTCTTGGGTGTGGTTTCCAGAAGAGCTTTGGGGCAGTGAAGACCATGGTCTAAATTCAAATATAGTTAACCCTTGAACAAAAGGTGGGGGTTAGGAGCGCTGACCCCTCCAATACAGTTGAAAATCTGCATATAACTTCTGACTCCCCCAAAACTTAACTACTAATAGCCTACTGTTGACTGGAAGCCTTACTGATAACATAAACAGTCCAATAATACATGTCATGTATATTACATAATTACATACTGTATTCTTATAATAAAATAAGCTAAAGAAAAAATAAGCTACAGAACTACTTTATTTGAAGATTTATTTATTAGAGCACTTGGACAAGTCGGGGGGAGGGGCAGAAAGGAGACAAGCAAGACTCCCTGCTAAGCAGGGAGCCAGACGTGGGGCTCAGTCCCAGGACCCCGAGATCATGACCTGAGCCAAAATGAAGAGTCTGACACTTAACTGACTGAGCCACCCAGAAGCCCGAGAAAAAAAATTTTTTTAAAGATTTATTTATCTATTTTGGAGAGAGCGAGTGAGCACACGTGTGTGGGGCAGAGGGAGACACTCTCAAGCAGACTCCCCACT